TGCGGGGGCTACGGTATCGTCGCCGCCGCGATGTCGGACAGCGAGGCCCGCCTACTCTTGGAGGCCGGGACTAGACCTGGTTACGGTCTCGCGCGCCTGGGCCAGGAGAAGCGCGCCCTCGAGGAGGCCCCCCGCTCGCTCCACCCCAACCTCCCTGTCAGTTCGGTTCCGCAGGAGATCTGGGATACAGCTCGCTCCTGGATCCCAGTCGCTGCCGGTAGGTGGAGGTGGGGGGGGCACATCGCCGTGGGGGGAATGAGAGCCGTCGTTTTGGCGCTGGAGAGGTTGGTGCAAGTTCCAGGTTTCTATCGGAGTAAAGTGATTTCGTTCGAGGACAGCATGCCTTGCTCGTACGCCATTACCAAGGGGAGGTCCGCTGCGGGCCCGCTCAACTTCCTCCTCCGCCGCCGATGCGCCCTGCGTGCCGCTGCCGAGCTACGCCTGCTGCTGCCCTGGGGCGAGACGTGGCGGACGCCTGCCGATGAGGTGTCGCGCAGTAGGACATGGAGGGAGGTGTTAAAGGGCACCCCGCAGGATCAGGTCCAGGTCGCCCAGCAGAGCAAGGCGATTCAGAAGTAATCGATGTGCATGGGGAGGGGGGGAGGGGTCTATGCTACTACCGTCCTCAAGTATAAGGAGGCAGTGGACCCTTTTGTCGAGTGGTGCGTCAGAGAGGGGGTGGAGGAGCCGTACACCCCTGATCAGCCGGATGACGCTATCATGGACTTCAAGAGGTTTGGGGGCTCCGAAGCTGCGGGGATGGTGGTCCACACTAAGTCCAAGTTCTTCCTGCTCCTCGCGGCGGTGGAGTTCCGCTCCCCGCGCATGAAGGAGAGGATGTGTCGGGTTAGGGCGGCCCTCAAGGACTGGGACTATGCTCACCAACCTCGTCACACCGCCCCCATGATCAGTAACGTGTGCGCCTGCATGTGCATTCATTGTTATGCCAGCTTCGGAGCTGGCCGCCCTCGGGATCCCTTACGAATCCATCAGGGAAATGGGAAGGTGGAGGGTCGACTCCTCGCTACACATCTATATCGTTGTGGTTCAAGCGTCACAAGCTGGTACAGCTCTACGTGCAGTGGGTTTGCAGCCAGCCCTGGACTGGGCCGCCCTCTACTGGTACCCTACGTGTCGCCAGGCTTTTGATGGCGGGGCCCAGGGCGCCCAGTGGCATCAAGGCCGCGCTCCGCAAGGGAGCCGCCGCGCAGGCCAAGGGCGAGGGCGTGGAGTCGGGCTCGGAAGCGGGCTCGTGGCTGGAGTTGGGCAGCCCGGGGGCCAGCTCGGCGCGGGCGCCTGCCGCGCCGATGCAGAACCGCGCGGACACGCCGCCTCCTCGGACCCCAGGGGGCCTGGCCATGGGTGGGGCCTACTACCCTCCAGTGCCGCCGTGGGGGGGCACCATGCCGCCGCCGTTCCCAGGGGCACCGCCGCTGCCGCCAACCACGCCCAAGGCCAGCGCGAAGGTGCAGGCGGCAGCGGGGAAGTCTTTTGGCAAATCGCTTAAGGCGGGCAAGAGCGGCCAGCTCCAGAGGTTGATGAATTGCGCGCCGTCAGGGCCCCTCCTGGGCACGCTAGTGCTGGCCGCCATGCTGCTGAGTATCTTCCCGCCAGCCTCTTCCCAAACGCCGCTAGGGGCCTCATCGTCATGACTGACGCGGCGGGAGAGGTGGGGACCGCAGCGGGAAAGATCGTGACTGCAGGAGCAGATGTGAGCACGAACGCAGCGAAGCTCGTGTCGGCAGTGACGGACGGGTCGATCGGCCTGGTCGAGGCGGCTTGGCGTGGCGTCGACCTGCTGGACGTCCATGTGCCGGGCAGCGCCGGCAGGTTCTTCGTCGAGGATGAAGACGATTGGCCCGCCTTCCTCCACGAGCCGGAGGTCCAGCAGGTCATGCAGCTCGAGCCGGAGTTTTCTGATGAACTGGTGCGCCTTTTGCTTTTCTCCTCGGCCACCAGGCCGAGGGGCGAATTCGCACACAGCAGTTTCCTTTCTCCTAAGATGTACCAGTCCGTGAGTTTTTGGGCCCGCTGGCTTCCCAGCGGCCATGTCGGGATCGCCTGGGGGGTGGTCACGTAGTAGTAGTAGTAGTAGTAGTAGTAGTAGTAGTAGTAGTAGTAGTAGTAGTAGTAGTAGTAGTAGTAGTAGTAGTCGTAGTCGTAGTAGTGGTAGTAGTAGTAGTAGTAGTAGTATAGTAGTAGTAGAGTAGTAGTAGTAGTCGTAGTAGTAGTAGTAGTAGTAGTAGTAGTAGTCGTAGTCGTAGTAGTCGTAGTAGTAAGTAGTAGTAAGTAGTAGTCGTAGTCGTAGTAGTAGTAAGTAGTAGTAGTAGCAGTAGTAGTAGTAGTGTAGTTAGTAGTAGTAGTAGTAGTAGTAGTAGTAGTAGTAGTAAAGTAGTAGTAGTAGTAAGTAGTAGTAGTAGTAGTAGTAAATAGTAGTAGTAAGTAGTAGTAGTAGTAGTAGAGTAGTAGTAGTAGTAGTAGTCGTAGTAGTAGTAGTAGTAGTAGTAGTAGTAGAGTAGTAGTAGTAGT